ATGACCAGAAAGTTCTTAACTGCTAATTTCACTTGGAAAAACAATAAGGCAATGAAAAATTTCTCAAATGTCTATTTTTATAATATACTCTTATAGGTATAATGGAAGAGATGATAAATATTTAAAGTGAGCATTCTACATTATAAACAGCACTGATACTAGTATGTGGTTGGGTGCCCCTTCCAAACAACTCTGCAATATTTGATCATTCTTATTGCATTTATATGTTTAAAAAATGTATACCTTTTAAGGAGAAGGAGATGAGGCAGTACTGTGCTCGGCTCTGAAACTGGTACAGAAGATGATTCTGTAAATGAGGCTGTAATTTACTTTCAGTGTTATAAAGGAAAAAAAATCACTTTGCCTAAAGTGTATGCATCTTTCTTAAGGGTGTACCCAGATTTTAATTATCTAGATGTAAATACTTAACGAATTTTACTTAGAGTAATGAGCTAAAGTGCACACTACATAAATGAGATGTTCTAATTAATCATGTATGAACTACTGGTTTAAAGAAAAGCTATGTGAATTCTGTGAATGTTGGGCTATTGCCAAATTGCTAATCAGCATTTGCATTCATAGATGGCTTCACTTAATAAGTTGTGAGACATTCAGCAAATGTTTTAGGAAATTATTATGAGTTTTTAGATGCAGAAACTTTTTTGTTTTTAACCCTTTTTTCTCCTATGAGCCTTTGGCTGCTTCTTAGAAACCACAGACAAACATTCATTCTGGAGAGATTAAAATCCAGCCAGACAAAAACTAAGAGAGTTGACATCTCAGGTATCATTCACATAGGAGTCTTGAATTATTTACTAAGGCATACACTCTGTCATAAATATATGTTATCATCGTGAGGGAGCTAGGTTTGTAGGAATTAGCAATGTTTTGTGTGCAAATTAAAAATGCTCTGTACTCCAGCACAGCATTTCTCAAGGTTTTCAACCTTAGGACTTAGAATCTTAAAAATTATTGGAGACCTTCCTAATGCTTTTGGATTGGTGGGTTATGTCTATCACTAATTATTGTAATAGAAATTAAAACTAGAGAAAAACATTTATTAATTGATTTATAGATAACAATAAGCTATTATATGTTAACCTAAATAACTTTTTAAAAACACTGTTTTCAAGAAAAAACTCAAAATTTAGTGAGAAGAATGGCATTGCTTTTCAGTTATGCAAAACTCTTTAATGTTGGGCTTATTAGAAGTCAGTTTGATTCTCATATCTGCTTCTACAGTCAACCTGTTGTCATATGGTTCAAATATATGAGGAACATTTGGCTTCACACAGATATGTCATTGGGAAAGACAGGAGTGTATTAATAGCCTTTTCAGATAATTGTGGATATTCTTTTTTGGTATTACACCAAAACTTGACAAATCATAGTTTTATAAAAGTTAGTTACAATATAAAATCTGAAACCGTATCAATTATCTTTTTGTACTGTGTTACTTTAAAATCCATTTGTCTCGTTTGCACTTGAATGGATCTTCTACCTGTGTGTGCTTTTGTAACATCATGCATTGATCATTTCAGAAATACAGGTTCACAGAATTATGCATATCTTCCCAATGTCAACACATTTCATTATATAATATCAAAATATCATGTTTATTAATATCAACTCTCAATCAGAAAGTCTAATGTGATACTGTTAAGCTCACAATGGTGGATACAAGTGTTCCAAAATTCTGATTTTCATTTGAAAACTCAAATTTTACCATTAGCACAAATTCTGTCAGCTGTTCTCAACATGATGGGCTGACTTGTTTCATTTTTGAGAAAATATCTGCTGAATGCCCAACTCTGAATAATCATAATTTATCAAAATTGTTTCAAGTAAGGATGATGTTTCATGAGAAAAATGACTTAAGCTCACAACTTAAACAACCGTACAAAAATGCTTTTTCTCAAGGCAATCATCCTTCGATAATGCAGTGGAAGTGCCTTTACTTTGCTTTCCATTTTGACACACAAAATATTAAGGACATACTCAAGGGTTGAGATGTAACAAGATGAATAATTTCTGCTGCTTCATCAAGGACATTCCTAAGTGAAACTGGCTTTTATTGTGTGTGTGTGTGAATGTGTAGTGGTGAATAATAAAAATTATATATCAAAGATTCCCTGATGCAGTGTTTCCTAAAGAGTTTTTCTTGGCATATTGGTTTGCAAGATGCTTTAGAGCTGTGCTGTCCGATACAGTAGCCACTAGCCCCATATAACTAGTGAGCAATTGATGCCTGGCTGGACTGAATAAAGTATGCTGTAAATGTAAAATACATACTGGATTTCAAAGAGCACCCCAAGAAAAGAATGAAATATCTGATTAACAGTTTTCAAAATTGACTATATGTTGAAATGTTAGTATTTTTCATATATTGGGTTAAATAAAATATATTGTTAAAATTAATTTCACCTATTTTTAAGATTTTTTTAAAGTGGGTACTACAGAATTTAAAAATTTCATGTATGACTCACAATATATTTCTATTGGACAGCATTGCTCTAGAGATAAGAGGTTTTATGGCCAAATTTGTGGTAAAAATTGGATATATTCTTTCTCCTTGAAGATGTATTACGCATATTGGGATAGAAATACTGAGGAATCTTATAAAGAAAAGTCTTTTAAAATTTTGGTTAATCCAGCAGTTCCCAAACATACTGTAATTTTGGACCATCTGTTAACATTCTGTGGAACTCACTATAGAACTATAGAATTTGCTAATCCCAGTTTGAGGAAATAGTTCTAGTTCAGTTTTCTTTGTTTTACTGATCAGAAAACTATGGTGTAGAATTTGTCAAATTATATAATATGGAGATTATATAAACGTTTCCTTAAGGAAGGTTCAAGGAAAAAAATACATGCATACATTTCTTGGCAGGGCGACCACTTGTTTTCAATTGGGCATAAGATAATTTAAATTGATAATATAGTGCAGGGAAAAAAATATTTTTTTGGCTTAAAGAACAGGAATTTATTTCTCACAGTTCTGGAGACTGGAAGTCCAAGGTGACAACAGAGCCAGTCCTTGGTGAGGGGCCTCTCTTTGAGTTGCAGATGGCCACCTTCTCAATGTGCCTTCTTGTGATCTTTCCTTGGTGCATACAGTGGGGAGAAATCAAGCTTGGTACAGAGAATCTTAAATTTACTTTTTAAAATTTTGGTTTCATCCTTGAAGATAGAACGACTTTTGGTTTTAGTCTTTAAAAAATTCCTTAATGTTTTACTGTATCATAACCTAGGACAATAATTATTAACCTTTTAAAATTATGGACTATCTGTGAATCTAAAAACAAAAACTTCAGAGATTCTCCCCTCAGAACTATGCATGTCATACAACTTCTATAGGATTTCGGAGGGTCATATATATTCTAAACACATCCATGGGCTTTAGGTTAAGAATTCTTCATTTATGGTTCAGGGATAATGAATTTATGGATTTTAACCAACATTACTCTCACTCTTGAATTGTAGTATTAAAGCCCCCCAATCTGTAGATTTTTATTATATTGCTCAATTCTATACTCCAAAGAATTCCATAAGTATAACATAGGGTCACTACTCAAAAGGAATGTAATATTTCTTAAGGCTTAAAACATCTTTTTACAAAAACTTTTAATAAATGTAAGCAAGACTCCTTTTACCTCACCTTAGAAATATTTATAGAAAAGCTCTGTGAAAGCTTAGAGTAAGTGAAATACCCAGTGTACTTGAAAGGTTAGTTCTCTAATGAGCAGTTAGAAAAACCATCATGTGCTATATGTGAGCAATGTTCAGGAGATCTATAGGGAAGTGGACATTATTAGAGCTTCAAAATGTATTCTGCCTTGATCAATGATTCTTCTGTCTGCTCACCCTACCAGGGGCACCCGTGCAGTAAGGTGCAGAATCTCCCATCCTGTCTTTTTAAGGAAAATGCCAAAAGATGTTCTTTTTTTTTTTTTTTTCAGGAGTATAGACTGATGCCTTATTTACTAAGGCAGTAGTGGATTTCAGTGTAGGCCTAGTTACAGTTTTATAGAACAAGAACATGGGTGAACTAAAAGAGACAGAATTCTGAGGATTATTAACTAAAAAGTTTGAGACCCAGATCTCATCCTTATTTTCCTGCTGCTCCTCCCCTGAAGAGTTGAGCTGCTTTACGTGGGTGATTTATATCCACTAAGGGCCTGCACTGCAGCTAAATTATACTAGATCACTGGAATGCTTGGTGTGCAAGGCCCTTGTGTGCTAATACAAACCTGAATCCCCTCTTCTTCTCTACAGATACTGTCTTTTCCTACTTGATATTCTCTGAACTTGCTACATACTGTTATATCGAGGGTTTTTCTTGTGCCTCGAATTCCTCCTGACTTCCATCTTTATGAGATCCTCCCCATTCTTAAAAACCCAAACCATGAAGCCTCCAGATGAGAATACTCTTTCTTTGGAACTTAAGAAGCACTTATTAACATCTTCCTGTTAGACCGTGTACTGACTACCTTGTATGAGAATTAATTTTTTATATACTTTATCTCACCAAAGACCAGGTCTACATCTTGTTTATTTCTGTGTCCCTTTTAGCACTTGGAAGAGTTTGAACTTTGTAGTCATTCAGTAAACATTTGTTGAATAAATGGAAAACTCCAGAGAAAATAGAGGGTACTTAGTATTAACAGTTAACATAAGTTTTTGCTTATATATAGTAATTGGTAGGGAGCATGATCTTCCAATGGAAAAACCTCATTTTGAAACTGGGACAAGTGTGGGTGGGAAGGGCAGTTGGGTGCCATGTCTCCCTTGCATGTCTGACCATTGATAGTGTCAGAATTCTTGCTGCCCATGTAACTACCATCACCATTTCACAAGAGGCTTAGTTTTCATTTTACCTTACCTGCTACATAGTACCATTGGTGATTGCGAATGAGGTGCAAATTCAGATGAGTTAATGTCTGGGTATGATAATATAAAGTAACGGTTTCCTAAGGAGTGATTTTTTTCCCCCATTACAGGCATGTAATGAATTCACTACACATGTGATGAACCTTCTCCGAGAACAGAGTAGAACACGTCCCATTTCCCCAAAAGAAATTGAAAGAATGGTGGGCATCATCCATCGAAAATTTAGTTCTATTCAGATGCAGCTCAAACAAAGCACTTGTGAAGCAGTTATGATTTTAAGATCAAGGTTCCTTGATGCCAGGTATGTGAGGCCATATCTATTGCATGTTTTTTCCCCCATCCTCCTTTCAATTCTTGTATATTATTTTCTGTAAAACTGGCCAGTTGGGTATCAGATTCTTCTTTAATTTGGCTATAAGAGCTTTTCTATACAGTGGACAGGTAATTCACCTCTTGGTGCCTGTGCTGTCAAGCCCCTTCCAGTCTGGGAGTGGTAGTGCTGTTAGCTGCCCATTTAGTGACTCAGGAAATGAATAGGATTGTTGCTCCTACTGATGACTTTAGGAATATGTAGCTCTTCAGCTCTGATGCTAAAAAGTATTTTTAAGGATAATTTTCTGTATGTAACTATTCTAACAATGGGTATTTTATAAGAATTTCTTTATGTTACATTGCTTGTGCATGTTATGAGAAAATACTTGAAAATATTGATACTTGTAAAAAGGAAGTGTTATTTCAGTTAATAGCAGTTACCACTACACCCCAAACTTTGTATTTCCAAATCAAGTAAGAAAGCCTATCAGTTTCTCCTATAAGGATGAAAATTTCCCTTTTGTCTGAAGCTTTCCTCAAGTTTCACAGGAGTTAGGCAATGCATTGTAGATGGTGATAAATTGTATATGGTGACCTACTGAGTGACAGAACAGAAGAATCGTCAGAGTCCTAGTATATGCTGCCTCTGTAGGGATGCCTCTCAGGCATTGCTAAAGCTTATGATCAATCTACAACTTTGGAAAAGAGTTTCTATTTTGTTTTTTCTTTTTCCCCTTGAAATTTGACAGAGGTGATAATTATCATTCAAATCTTACAGTAGTAAAGAAATATCTAAGTTAGCTTCTTAATTGAAAAACAACATATGTGGAACAGTCTTCATGCCAGAGCTTCTCCTTAGAGCCAATAAGAAAACATGTGCCACCTAAATATACCACCATTTTCCTAGTTAAGCAAAACTCTGTGTCACCTTTGATTCCCTCTTGTTCCACACTGAATCAGTCACTAGAACTCACCCATGCTTCATTTTTAACATTTCTCACATTAGCTCTTTCCACCTTTCCTTTTCATCCCCTTGTACCTGGACTAGCACAGTGCCCTCCTGCTAGTCTCCCTGTCCCCAGTCTTACTCCCCTCTGTATCTCTTCTCTGTTTCCATAATATCACTGTGAGGCCTTGATTACTTTACTTAAAAACCATGGTAGCTTCTCCATGCTGGATAACTCACACACACTCCTTAAGCGGACACTTGAGGCCTTCTACAACCTGTTCCTGCCTACATTACTTTTTGTTGTTGAAAAGATTTTAAGTTCTATTATTATCTTTTTCTACTTAAAAAATGCCAAGTTCACTGTAGAAAATTTAGAAAAAACATAGAATAAAAGTCAACCTCATTTTTACTACCTAAAGAAAAAAAGTCACTATAAATGTTTTAGTTTATTTCCTTCTGTTTTTTGTTTGTTTGGGGAGCTTTTTAAAAGACATGTTTTTGTGATGGTTTAATATGCTTAGTTTGTTCTGCTTTTTATGTAATTTACCATAAAAACATAAACATTGTTCATGTATTATAAGCCCTAATTTTAAAAAGCATTTTAATAGTTGAAATCTACAGAATGGATATGTAATAAATAATTTACTGAACATTACTTTATTTTTGAGCATTTAAATTATTCCCATTAATTTCTATCATAAATTCTTTCTTCCTTCCTTCCACAAATATTTATTTGTGCTAAGGCTGTAATAGTAAACAAAACATACTTGCCCCAGTTGAGCTTACATTCTACTTGAAGAAACACACAATAAACAAGTGAACAAATATATAGGATAGTATTCTATTCAATAACAGTAAGATTTAAAAAGGTAATAAGTACTATGCAGAAAAATAAAGCAAGGCAAGGGGAGAGAATAATGTAGAAAGGGTACTATTTTAGACAGATGTTTATTGAAACTAATACTTCAGTGAAAATCTTTATACACTGAATCTTTGTGGTGTTTAGGATTATTTTCTAAGGACTAATTCTCAGAAATGGAATTATTAGACCACAGTTTGAACATTTTTAGTGTTCTTATTTATATATCACTAAATTGTTCTTTCCTGTGTTTCTTCCAGAAATGAAATGCCTTCTGGTCTTATGTGTTTTCTCTGCCTAGAATTCCTTCTTTTCCTCTGTCTAGCCACCTACTCTCCTGCCTCCCATAACAAACTCTGTTAAGTTGGTCACCAGTAATGAGCTGTCATCTGTGAGGTCGTCTGTAGTAGAGCCCAGAATAGAGCCAGTGCTCATATTTGTTGTATCTAATGAGACTTTGCTCATCATTCTAGGCCTGGCTTAAATGCTGCCTTTTCAAAAAGTCCACTTTAATTACCCCACTGGACCAGCCTTCCCTTCCCTTGAACATTTATGCTCCGTTTCCACAATTCTCCAAACTAGACTTCGTGCAGACTCCCTTTTCTTGTAGTTTTTCATAAACATTTCTTCTGTCCCCTAGTAAGCCACAGAGTCATTGAAAGCAACAGCCAAGACTTAATATATTTGCATTCCCCACAGTTCTAGCAAATGCTTGACACATTATAGGCTACAAAAAAACAATTTATTGACTGACCAAATGAATGAATATTTCCACTTAATACTTTCTAACAGCTCAAGTCAGAGTTAGGGAGGTAGCATCATAAAACAAAAAATGTTTTAAAATTATTTGTCAGATTTGAGCATTTTAATAAAAAGCGTTATGTAACAAAGATATTAAAAAGTATGTCTGATAGAAGGGAATCTTCGTAACACAATTGCTATCCTTATTTCTGCCGATACTTTTCTGTTCTTGTCAACATGCATGCTTATTTTTTACATAACTGCGTTCATAATATATACACCTAAATGATTTATTTTTCTTCCACGAAGAGAAAGTATGTTAACAGCCTAGAGTGAGCAGAGCAAGAATGAGAGAGTGGAAGAGCTTGGAGCAGAGTCCCTTCCCCTGCAGAGACTGCTGTTAGTAATGTTGTGATGCTGATGGGTCACAGCCCTGGGACTGACATGCCACTGCTCACTGGCCTGAGGCATAGCCATTTAGAGTGTGGTGGACCCTGGGGGAGTGAAACTGAGGGGAAATGCTTAATGGGCACTTTCTACAGGATGTTTTTCTAAAAAATAAATAACGTATAAGACCAAATTCTCTTCTGTGCCTTCAAGTGCATGCAAATACTGAGCTTGGTTCCATCTCTTCTTGTAGTGCCTCCCAGCAAGCCCTCTGCACTGAGAAAGCAAGTGGCTGTGCTCTAGGCAAACATGTTCAGTCAGATATGTGATTCCCCTGCTCACTTTGGCTTCTATAAGGCCAACCTCACGTTTTCTTCATAATTGGACAAGCTGAAACATGTACTAATACGGAATATTTAGGAATAAATTTGCGTAGGTCCCTCTCCTCTTATCTAATAGAAGTGTTGTAGTTTGGCCTCAGCCAGAATGTCTGGTGAGATACTCTGTTTGTTCTTGGAGGTTTTTTGGTGTTTGCTAAAACCATCGCTAGGCAAAACTGATGTGAGCCAAACTTCTCTTGGCTTTCCTAGATATGTTTCTTCTTGTCCCTCCTTTCACAAGTCCCCATTTCCCACAGAAATGCCCTTGAATCATCTACTCCCATCTACTCTGGGCCTTGCTGCTGGGCTCCATGTTTTTGACTGGGAGTTACAAATACACAGGCTTACATATAATGGAATTGAGTGGAGTGGCTAAGTCAGGGATGCATTGAGGGGCAGGGAGGGTTAGAGCAGATGGGTGTGTATCTAAGGAGATAGCCATCACTCAGCTTTAGCCTACAGTTGCCTTCTGAGAATGTGGGGCTGGTGTGGCTGATCTTTCAGTTTTCCTAAGAAGTTGGAAACCTATTTTATGAGCAAGTCATTACTGTATGGTTTGAACAAATAATGTCTGTGGGCCAGGTAATGCCTGTAGGTTTGACACTTTCAATATCTATTCTAGACCTTTTCCACCCTACTTACCCACCCACCTACTCATCATAGTGTGCCTCATCAAAGTGCCCCCACCTCCTCAAGCAATATGTGACTCCTGAAAAAAATGCTAATTGCTGTTCTTCTTGGTGTATTTCTCTTCCTTTACTTCCTTCCCTGTCTTTCCTTACCACCTCCCCCATCCAGTTCATCATCAAATCCTATTGATTTTAATCCCCAAATTGATCTTGAATCTCATCTTCATCCCCTAGGAAACAATGGTTTAACCCTCCAAAAAATTATTAAAATTAACAAATTTCAGGACTGAAGCCTGAAATGTTTTGATCAGACCTAGATTTCTTGTTCCCTTGACTCTCCTGTAATGTTGAAACATAGATCACATACTTAACTTGCCATGTTAGTAGCATCATTTTAACTAGAAGAATCTCATACAGTGTATACCTTTACAACTGCTTTCCCTGTCTTTTCTAAGTGTAGGATATCACAATTGAGAAAATCATTAGGATTATTTGGAAGACAGTATTAAGAAAATGGTTTGGGGAAGGTATTTTCCAGTTATTGGAGTATCTAATCTAAAGTGAATTCTGACAAATCCCAATTTTCAGACTGGAATTCTTTAAAATTTTAATAACAAAACCTAAATATAAATGATATTTTTACTCCTTGAAATATGTTGTTAATAAATACTTGATTTTCTGACACTCTGTCACCCCCCTCCAAGCAAAAACAAAAATTTTTTCTCTTCTGTTCTTTCTCTTGTGAAGAAAATCATACCTCAGTCTTGGCAGTTGCTTAAGCAGAAAAATCCAGAAGTCCTTGATGTGTTTTTGCCCTCACCTTCCTTCTCTATCTCCCTTACCCATTCCTCCCATCCAATCCATCATCAAGTCTTGTTGCTTTTACCTTTCAAATAGATCTTTTTTTCTTTTTTTACTCTGAGCAGTACAGCCTATCAAATAGATCTTGAATATTATTTCCATTGCTGTCACCCTATGCCAAGTTACTACCATCTTCAATTTGACCAATGCAGACGTCTCCTTAAATGGTCTTTGAATTTCCTTTCATGCCTTCCTTCAACTGTTCTCAGCAGTGAGAACCATCTTTTCAAAACATGAAGCATAAAACTATTAATAGCTTTATATTACACTTAAAATCTTCATATTCTTATAGAGTCCACTAAACCTTTATAATCTGGCCTCTGCCCATCCTTCCAGACTCATCTCACACATTCCCTGTACTTTACTGTGCTCAGCTTCTCTTATCCCTTTAGATTTGCCAAGCTCTTTTCTGTTTCAGGATTATTTCCTCTGCCCAATCTTCTTTCCTGCTACTCTTTGACTAACTCCTACACATTCTCTAGGTCTCAGATCAAATGACACTCAAGGAAATTCTTCCTTACTCCATAATCTATGTTACATTTCCCTCTTACACATTTTTATTGTATCTCATACTTTTCCTTCATAATATGTGACATGGGCATCCTAATTTGTAATTATTTAATTTTATGGTGCTTTTCTAATGTTTTTCTTCCTGCATCTTTCTACTCTCTCCCTTAGTCCTCCAATTCCCTGTAATCTCTCTGGTAGACCTTATCTGTTTTGTTCCCACTGGATCTCCATTGAATACCTAGAACTCATTAGGTCCCCAGTAAATATTTGTTGAATACATTAAAGAATGAAATTAATAGTGCTTCATATTCTAGTATTTTTCTTAGTGATCCTACATCTTAAGTTGGATAGCACTATGGAGGATGCCTAGAACATAATCTATAATATCACAGTAATAAATTAGACCCTAAGGATTATAAAAATAGAAATCTACTTTTTTGTATGATCCTAATTAATCTATCCCTCTTTGGTTAATGCCAATTGTAACTATGATTCTTTTTTCCACTCATCATAGACGGAAAAGGCGTAACTTCAGTAAACAGGCCACAGAAATCTTGAATGAATATTTTTACTCACACCTCAGCAACCCTTACCCCAGTGAAGAAGCCAAAGAGGAGCTGGCCAAGAAATGCAGCATCACAGTGTCGCAGGTGAGAGAGGGCTCTGTGGGTCTGTCTTATTCCTCATTGATGCAGGAACCCCGTTTCTTCCTCAGGGCATTCTCATCAAATTTGATATTCAGATATTCCATCATCAGAGAAGATATAAAGAAAATCTAGACATTTCTACATTTTTATGCAAGAGTTTAAAGCGTAGATAATTTTTTTAAACCCTAGGTGGCAAGGAATCAAGATTACCACCATCCCAAGCCCCCAGTGTAAATCTTCTATAGAGAGGACATAAACATGCCATGGGGAAAGACACAGTTTACACTTAAGTGACTCTCCAATAAATGGCATGTATGTCTGGTTTCCCTGATTTAGATGACTGACCTAAGCTTCTACCAGTGAGAAACCAATTTATTTGTTGCCGAAAGGAAATTTAATATAACTCTTTGGTGAATGCTTTGAGGAATTCACCAAGCCCCTTCTTGGTAACCATGCTGTAATGTTTGAGGCCCAAGGATTTCTTTGCCTCCTTATTATTCATTAAGCAGAATAATTAAGCTCATGCCTGTCAGAGTTTTGTTTTTTTTTAAATGTCCATTTGTAATAATTTGTGGCTCTAAAGTTAGTTGCCATCTTCTAACAAAAATACATTAGTTTTAGTCAAATAGACTGATACTTGGATCGAGGATTAGAGATACTTATATACAAACAATTGTACCTCCTTAAAAACTAAGTATAGGCTACTGGTGTTACCCTTAAAATACAATTTTATTTAAATACTTATATTGTTGTTTCCAGATTGACATTTGAACAGCAGTTGTTTTTTTTTCTTTGAGACAGAGTCTTGCTCTGTTGCCCCAGGTAGAGTGTAGTGGCGTCATCATAGCTCACTGCAGTCTCAAACTCCTGAGCTTAAGCAATTCTCTTGCCTTAGCTTCCTTAGTAGCTGGGACTACAAGTGTGTGCCACCATGCCCAGCTAATTTTTAGTAGAGACAGGGTCTTACTGTTGCTCAGGCTGGTCTCGAACTAGAACTCCTGAGCTCAAGTGATCCTCCCTCCTGGCCTCCCATAGTGCTGGGATTATAGGCGTGAGCTATCACATGCAGCCTAAACAGCATTTCTTTATAGCATGCAAAAGGAATAGTTTACCAATGAGTTTTTACAGTAGAACTTAAGGAAAAACTGACCCTTGGCAGAAATGTCAGTGTTCTCTAGGGGTCACATGACACCATATTTTAAAAGTGGATTCTAAATAAATATTCATGCTGTACATCTGAAGTCCGAGATACTAAAGATTCCCTTCAGATACCAATGAGGGTCTCATATCAATTTTAAGTCATTGTTATTTGAGGGAATATGATCTGGGTTTAAGATGATTTCTAGCTCCTCTTTTGGCATTAGAACCTCAAGAGCAAACATTGATTTATAATTAAGATTTCATTTAAGGTATATTGTCATTCTCTTATGAAATAATGGTGTATCTTGATTTCTTTTGATCAGTTTGAAATGGAATATAATTGATTTGTTTTACCAGCTTACACAGACATATATAAAACATTATCTGGGTTATGTAGTACTCACTGCCACTTGAAATACTGAGGAACAGTACGATATGCTGGATCAGACTGGAAGACCAAATTAAAAGTGTATTCATTTCAAGTGGATTTTTTATGGTGTGTGCATTTTCCCTGAACATTAAGTGAAAGGATTAGGATCATGCCGAACGCCTGATGGTGATGCCAAGTCTGGTTTTCTGGCTCTCGGGCTACTCTCTGACTTAGAGTTTGAATGTTAATGCATCCAATTTAAGTTACAGTGTTTTCTTTTTTTTTTAATGGTTGTATAATATACACACCTTTAGAGAATTATACAGATTACATACATTTTCCTAAAGCAGTAAAATCCAGATTTACCATTAGCCATAGTACCTAGCACTGTGTGTGCAGAGTAGGATGTTCTCAGCACATACTTGTGGAATAAGTGATAAAAGGTTTCCTTTTAGCTCTTCTGAACTAGGGAGTTTTCACTTCTAAAATAGACTAGGAACCCACTTACTAGTTTTAAAAAAAATAGTTAATTACTATATTCATTTCACTTGTTTTCCATATAAAAATAGTTTTCTTAGATTTTAAAATTTATATAGCAATTGCTGAGAAAAATGGTAGAGAGGTAGAAATAATATAGACATAGATTATTACTCTGCCTAAACAGCAAACTTTCTGACCTTGTTTCTTCCAGGTCAGCCTTTCAAACACAGAATTTCAGTGATCAGTTTAAGCATCAGTTTAAATTGTGGCAATTTCATTCTCATTTTACCTATTTCTTACCTAAAAAGTTAATGTCTACACAACAAATCCCTTCTCCCATATCTCTGAAGTGGAAACAATGATTATCATTTTGACTATAAAGCACTGTCAGTTGTTATCATTATAAATTACTGGCCTTTTGTTTACGTTGTTTAAAAGTGAAAGCAAAGAATTTCTGTTCCAGGCCTGCCAGGTCAACTACTTTCAAAAGAGGAAAAACATTGTTTAAAATATAGATCATGCGTGAAATACAATGAAATTTAGAATGTAAAATTTGTTCCTATACATGTCTAATTTTTGAAATATTGAAACCCATTGAAAATAGGCAATTAGAACAACACTATTTTTGCTAGACTTAGAGTATATGAGACTGTGATTTATTCTTTACTGCTAGTGTTTAAAATACTTAATAATTTCAAATAAATAGGGAATATCTAAGTGAAATTGCCCTAGAAAACCTCCTGTCAGGAGACACAAGTAAGAGCATGCATAGTAACATTCTTTGAAATAGCAAAAAACTTGAAAAAAGCCAGTTGTCCACTGGAGAAATGGATAAATACGCTGTAGTATAATCTCACAATGGAGCACTATACGGTAGTGAAAAAAGAATGATCTATAGCTGGACACGTAATTTCTGGTCAATCCTAGAAATATAATGTTGAGTGAAAAATGCAGATTGTAGACTGTTCATAGTATGATATAACAGTTTTACAAGTTCAAAACCAAGCAAAGTAAACAGCACATTGTCAGGGAACACATATATATAGTTAAATACAAAGAAAAGAAAGGGAAGAATCCCGTGGGATGAGATCAGGAAGGAATATCCAAGGAATTTCAGTCGTGTTAATAATATATTTCTTAATTTGAATGGCAGATTTATAGAGGTTAATTATTATCCATTATAAACCTACATATATAAGTCTTTGTAAGTCAAGGAAGTCTTGTGTCAATTATTAAATCTGAATAACAGAATTTTTAAAGACTGATTCCATTCATTTGTTCAACAATAATGTATTATAATACCTATTATGTGCCAGATACTGTGTTAGAGATGGAAGAGACATCAGTGAACTTAACAGGCAAACGCTGCCCTACCTGATAGAAATGTGTACATACATTCACCAAAAGTTATGTGTAGGAATATCCTTAGCCACAGCATTCATAATAGCCTAAGCTAGAAACAATGCAAATGTTCATCAGTAGGAAAATGGGCAAATAAATGTGGTAAATTTTTATATATTTGGAATATTATTCAACAATGAGAATGAACGAACTATTACTATATGTAACTATATAATGCTACATGAAATAAGTTAGGTACTTAGTGCATGATTCCATTTGTAAAAAGTTCAAAAGCAGGAAAAATTAACCTTAAGTGTTAGAGGTCAGATTAGTGGTTACCTTTGGGAGAATAGTGATTGGAAGGGGGAAGAAATGTTTCTTGATTTATGTGGTCATTTCATCGACATGCTTACTTTATGAAAATTCATCAAGGTCTATACTTAGGACCTGTGCCTCTTTTTCATATGTATATTTTTTATTGACTAAATGGTTATTTATACAGCAACAACAAACCTGTCCTCATGGAACTTACATTTTTGTGTGAGTGAATGGATAGATAAATAAGTAAATGAGGTGGTAATTTAGAAAGTGATAGGTCCTATGGAGAAAAATTAAGGAGAGGAGGAGAATAGGGGGTTAGAGGTGCAATTTTTAGTAGGGTGGTAAAGAAAACCCCTCCTGAGAATGTCTCTTTTGGTAAAGATTGAAGGAGATAAGTGAGCAAGTCATATGGATAATTGGTGAAGAACATTCCAGGCAGAGGGAACAAGTACAGAGATCCCAAGGTAAAAATGGCCTGAGCATGTAGCCAAATGGGATGAGATGAAGGCTATGGGGTCCAAACAGTACACAGGCCTTCTAGGCTGTGGTGATCACTTGAGCTTTTACTCTTAGTGAGATGGGAAATGAGGAGTGACATGATCTGACTTAATTAAGGCTTATAGGATCACCATGGCAGCTATATTGACAATAGACTGTGGGGAGCAAGGGGAAGCAGAGACACCAGTTAGGGTGCAGTTGCAGTAATCCAAGCAGAAGATGACGATGGCTTGGAGCAGAGTATTAGTGGTCAAGGTGATGAGATGTGGCTGGATTCTAGGTATATTGTGAAGGTGAAGCAAGAGGATTTACTGATGAGTTGGATACAGGATGTCCAAGAAAGAGAGTCAAAGATGACTCTTAACATTTTTGGCCTGAGCAGTGGAAGAATTGAGTTTGTCATTAAGTGTGATAGGGAAGGATTTGAGAGGAACAGGTTTTGGGGGAAGATCAGGAATTTGGTTTTAGACATACTAGGTTAACATATGCTATAGTTTTTTAAGTTCACAATATAAATAGGTATAGGTAAGTGAAAATTTTATAATTTATATTAGTCTTACATTAATTTGTGATAATAATATAAGTGTGATAATAATTATAAGTGTGCTTACTATAGAATTGCATGCCGAACCCAGAATTTAAATTTCTGATTTCTTAAGCTTTGGTTTGATTAAGCTGGAGTTCCCCTTTTACATAACACCCTGAAAATTCACAAAAGAAGAAATTATTTCAAATGTCATATGCACTGAGAATCACATTTAAATTGTTACATATTCTTAATTAATGGATCAGATATTAATATGCTTTTACTTTTTGGAATAGAGCTAACTTGCATTGATTATTCAAGTTACTA